GTAAGTAGTTGGCAAAATAAGAATATTTTATTGGAAATATATGGTTGTGTTTTTCGATTTCTTTTAGAATGGTGTCGATGAAGGCGATATTGAGCGCAATCAATGGGGTGAATTGGAATCTGAATCAGAAGAATCTTCTGATGAAGAGGAGGAAGAAGGTGAAGATATGGCTAATCCTGTGGATGAAAGCGGTTTAGTGACACCGGCCGAAGGCTTAGTTACACCCTCAGGTCTAACGAGTGTGCCAGCGGGCATGGAAACTCCCGAAAACATTGAATTGCGTAAAAAGAAAATTGAACAAGAAATGGAGGAGTAAGTATTTTACGAGGAAAATTTAATGAAATTATACTTAATAATTTCTCTTTTTCACAGCAATGAAACACCCGTCCTGTACCATGTTTTGCCTGAAAAACGTACTGATCGCATTGGTGCTTCTATGATGGCCTCTACCCATGTCTATGATGTGGGTAGCGTAAAACAGACAGCCACCAGAACAGCAGTTACCGCCGATCGCGAAGGTACCGTAGAATTGGCTTTAGATCCTTCTGAACTCGATATGGATAATGAAGCCATGGCTCAACGCTATGAACAACAAATGCGTGAACAACAGAATCATCTACAAAAAGAAGATCTTTCTGATATGTTGGCCGAACATGTGGCACGTCAAAAATCAAAACGTAAACGCCAACAAGCCGATCCAGCCAAGACTACGAAAAAATATAAAGAATTCAAATTTTAGATTGTACTTGAGTTGAAGTAAGTTTAATTTAAAATTATCTAATGCTAAACTTTCATTTTTTTAAATAAAAAAATAAGTAACCGTCACCTGGAATCGTAAGATCTCAAATGGCGGAGAACACAATAATAAAGTTTTCAATAACATTTCCAATATGAATTTTGTTTTATATGTATGTATTTAGCTTAAAATACTTCTTTTTTTCTCAATTAACTTCTTTAAACTGAACTATATAGACTGTTTTGTAAATTACAGGCTTTTTATAGTTTGTAAAAATATAATTTAAAACAGATATTATTACCAAACTAAGCTTCAAAGAAAGAGTAAGAAACAAAACATTATAAATCCTTTAGTTAAAATTTAAACTAAAAATTAGCGCAAAAAAATGTACGAAAATCAAATTGAAAACATTTAAGTAAAAGAACAAATTATTGCAAATTACACATACAAATGTATACAAGTTCAGTTTTTTTGTAGTCTGTCCATATCAAAAGATCAAAAAGAATAATATAATAAAAAAAGATCCTAAATAGTTTGTAAACCTAAAGAATAGTAATTTGATTTTTACAATAGTATTCATTCATTCCTTCACTTGTATCATTCTTCCATCTGTTCGTTTAATTGTGCCAATAATGCGGCTCGTTTCGATTCTAGTTCTGATTCACTTAGAGCCTGCTCATCGGGATCATTGCGTTGGCTGGAAGGAGAATGTCCCGCATCTGATTGATTACTAGCAATGGGGCTGAGTGGTGTGGCAGAACGTTGCTTATCATGATGATGTCTGCGCTCCTTATCCTTTTTGTTCTTTTTCTCTTTTTTCTTCTTTTTGCTGGGAGCAGAGCAGAATTCATCAATTGCCATGGCTGAGGGTGAGCCTCCATCTATAGATTGTTGTCGTTCTGATTCACAGGAGGACTTAAATATGAAATTTTGTTTTAATTATTAAAGTTAGCTTTAAATTTGTTCCACACTTACATCTCTTGAAGATTTTTTGTTCTTTCTCTTCTTTTTCTTTTTCAACAGACGATCGCTTTCTTTGCTTAGGCTAGAGCTAACCGAAAGCTGTAAAAGAAATGTTTAATTAATATGTAATAATAAGTTCTTCTCTATAAAACTCACCGATCTTGATCTCGATTTCTTTTTACGCGCTCTCTCCATTTCCATAGGATCGTTTTCTATGTCCGATCTAGAACTTGATCGCAAACGTTTCTTGTGTTTTTTATTCTTTTTCGATTTCTTTGATCTGGAGTGATGATGTGTGCACGCATCTTCACTTTCACGCACAAAATCTTCCCAAATTTTATGCACACCCAATTCTTTTTCATAAATAGCATACGACTCTAAATGTTCTACTAGTTTTTGAGCCGATTCATAGGGTTCATGAGGTGAAACATTGGCCTCCAACCAGGCTGCCTTGATTTCATTTTCCAATTTACGCAAACGTTTGGTTTCTTCCTTTACACGTTCCTTTTCAATAGCTTCAGCCTTTTCTAGTAAAGCATTGTAGGTGAGTTTAACATTGCCAGCATCAAGTGTAGCCGAACGTTTATCCTCACACACCACAGTGGCGAAATCTTCAAATGTTGTGTTGGCCTTAACGCTGAAATCTTTTTCTTTGAGAATTTCTCGTATGATCTTCTTTTCATCGTGATAGCGTGCCTTTAGATCTTCAACATAGAATTTGAATAGATCCAAAGGTGTAGAACCATTTTGTCCCAGCATGGCGGAGAAACGTATATCAGCTGAAATGATGGGATATAATTCCACCCACAAGGACATGGAAGTTAATTTGCCTTCTTCATGCAAAGAATCGAGTAGTGTTAGGAAATTGTCTCTATTCTTGCGCTGTTGACGTTTTAAACGTTTCTTTTCCTGTTCCTTTTCTTGATCTTCTTCTCTTTCCAAAGTTCTAATATGTTCTTCGAAAACTATTAGTGCATCCTCCTTATCCATGCCCAAAAGATTGACATCATTTTTAAAAGCAGAATTTTCCAACAGCATAACTTGAGCTTCAGCCCAGGTGGTGGAATAGGTAATGGTAGTCATGGACTCTAATAGCTCACCTAAAACTTTCATATTGCGCTTTTTCATCATGCGCGATTCTTCCTTTTCCCGCTTGGCCAAATTGAATATACAATCCTCATAGATATCACGGCGATCCTGTTCCGGCACCGAAGTCCAAATTTTATTATTGGCAAATATTTCTTCACATTTGTAATACTTCAAAGTGGAGTTCATTTTATCTGTGGTCATTAGAAACTTTTCCAAATCTTCTTTAGCTTTTTTAGCCCTAAGACGAGCCTCTTCCTTTTCATCTTTTAGTTTTTGTGTTTTATAGGCATTAAAGGTTTGTTTCTTTTCGTTTAGGTTTTTAAAAGAATTATAACGGGGGTCTTTGGATATAATCTTGACACATTGATCCCAATTGGCATTGGAAGGTACGTTCTTCTCACGTAACAATTCCTTGAAAGCTTCTATAGCCTCCTTTTTATCCTTGAATACCAGTTTGGGTTCGTCGGCTGCTTCTCTTTTGCCTGGAAACAAAATACCTTTTATATAAGCATATTTTCAATTATTATAGCAACCACTTACTTTCTTTGTCTTCTTTATTGGAAGAGGGTATTTCTATAGAAGCCAGAGTGGCCGCCATGGCCTGGTCCAAAGCTGAGGAGGAATTTTCATTGCTGCCCGGTGTCAAAGGCGAATGTATATCGGGTGTGTGTATCTTTGGTATAGTTGGCAAAGTAGCGGGCAATACAGTTGCTAAGGCGGCAGGAGGAACTATACCAGCAAAACTTGAAGTCATAACAGCTACACGCTTGGCTGCCACCGCAGCTCTTTGAAAAAAAAAAAAACTTTTAATACGCTTTTTATTTTCGATTTTATGTTTTACTTACTCTTCGGCTTTAACTTTTTCTTGCATTTCTAAAAATTCTGGTGGGGGCTCCCAACGAGACTCTTTTGTTGTTACATTGTGATAGTAAACCTTACCGGCATCTGAACGATATTCCTTCCAGGGGCATTGATGTTGCAAACGTTCTATGGGTGTCATTAAAGCTTCAGGTTTTTCCCATGAACTTTGTTTGGTAATGTTATTGTAGAAATAAGGTCTGCCATCGGGTGCCTTGTGTTCCGTCCACTCTGTATTGGGCGGAGCAGAACCAAATGCTGCCGCCAATTCAGCAGGTGGTGGGCCACCAAACCCGGGTGGTGGTATATTGAATTGCGGCACTATGGCAGGTGGAAAACCTAAGCCACCCAAGGCAGGTGGTACTGCTGGAGCGCCAGCAGTTGGTGGTACATTCATTTTTAGTTTTAATTTAACTCAACCAACAGAAATACTTTAATATTTATTTTCACTCTCACAAACAATATTGCTTTTTATTAAACTTATCATAACCTCAATGCCCGCAGAAAATCTTAATTTTTCGGCTTTTCTTTCGCTGGCAAAACAATTACTGCAGCAAGTTTTTATGTTTAAAACTTAATTTATGTGGAAAAAATACAATAATTTTTAGAAAATTTTACTAAAATTTTCTTTTTCTGAGGAAAATACACGACAAAAATCTGATGCGGTACTTTTTCACTCACAGCTCAAAAAAAAACTATATGTCAATAAGAGAAAGAGCGTGAGAGAGAACAGTGATGCCAACAATACAGGGTTGTTGTAAACAATTGGCTGTCATTGGTAAATAATGTTGCCATATGTTTAAGGCAATAACAAAAAGCATTCATTTGGTGATTTTGTAGTTTTTATTGTTAGAAAATTGAAGTTTTTAATTAAATATTAACTCATTTTCTTCATTTTGCTTTCTATTTTAGAATTCTTAATGTTATTTTATGTTTTTTTTTTAAATAAAACATTTTTAATATGGTCATACCTTGAAATGCTAACGGATATGTTGAAGGTACTTTATTTTAATATGGCAATACCAGAAATTATATCCGCCAATATATTTATTTTTCGGTGTTTTTTAGTTAATGGTTTTAATTGTGAAAATTTGTTAAACTATTCAGTAGCGAAGATCAGGTATGTTTCTAAATACTTTTAATTTGTTGAAAATTGATTTTCTAACAAACAAAAGACGAAGAAAACTTTATAAAGTTCCTCTCAATGTAAACAGGTAATTGTATATTTTTTGAGGCTACATATTAAAGAACATATTAGCTTTTCTTTTACTTGACACTGAAATGATTAGGAATAATAAAATGCAGACAAAATCCCCTTGTTTACATTTAAAATACTTTTTATTATTTCCCTTCACATCACATACATTGTACCTGTTGATAACGTAAACATGCGCCAATATTATCTTCAGGACTTCCCTTACCGGCTCCATCACCAAAATGTATACCCACATAAAATGGTGTAACGGTTGATTCAATTCGACATGGCCAAATGCCATTCGAACAGAATTGCATGCCACAGTGGATAGGTTCACAACCGGGTAATGGGCCCAAACCGGTGCCTATGAAATCTTCTATAATACAAGGCATTGTAATGCGATCCCTGCAACTGCTATAAAATTGTCGCATTTGGCTTTCACTTAATGGTCTCATTTGTTTACCAGATCGAAATCCAAAATCGAAAGCACTTCTCAAAAAACCTAATAAATCAAAGCCTCCTCTAGTTGGTCGGGGTCTACGCGAAACATTGCTAGATGAGGCAGTTGGTCTGAGGCGAGTGTCTTCTCCTTCATCTCCTCCAGAACCTTCAACATCATCACTTAAGGCTGGAGGTGTAGTGGAGACAGTTGTGGATTCCGTAGTTGCTGCAACCGTAGTAGGATTGTTAGCAGCAGCAGCAGCAGAAGAAGACATTCCATCAGTGTCATCTGCTAAAGAGGAGGCGGTGGAAAGGTCTGCAGCTACAGCTGAAATAAAATGTTTCAATTTTATTTATTTATATAAATAAATAATTTCTCAATTTACTTGTATTCCCTGGCACACTACTGCTAACTGTTGAAGATGCTGTGTTAATTGTAGACGGTGTTGTTGTGGTCAAACTTACAGCCTCTTGAGCTGAATTACTTGTGGCAAATGTTGTCGTCATTGTCATGCCTGCTTGTGCATTTGTAGCATCATCTGCTAAAACTTGCATTTGTAGCGGTGGCATTCCATTACCACCATTTATATTTGCTCCATTATCTGCCAATGTTTGAACACCCCCAGCCCCTACAGACGCATCATTCAAACTACTAAACATTGCCTGGGAAGTACTGGGTCCAATGCGAAATGATTGCTCATCACATGGCTGATAAACTATGGAACACATATCCATCTCCTGACGCATACATATACGATAATCTTGATTGGCTAAATGGCGACCATTATCGGCAAAGTTAAATGTCTGAAAAAAATAACGTTTTTTATTTGGAGGCTGCAATAAAATTAAACTGAAATACACAATTTACCTGAAATACACCCTCCGCACCTGTAAAATATTGTAAACAACCAGCTGGCGCTCTTTGACTAAAAGGTATTTGAGCGATACGTATTTCCCATAATCTGGTTGGTAAAAATCTTGGTGCAAAATTTAGCTTTATATCAATTTCCATGGTAGTATCATTGGTAGCATTACGTCCTGGGTATAAATCTTCATAGCGTAATGGTTTTAATGAACCGTATAGAGTATGACGGGGCAACATTCGACCACCAACATCATAATACACTGTAATAAAAATATATAATACAATTTCAATTTAAACACAATTTAACGAAGTGTGAGACCAAAATATGGATTTATGTATGTCGAGAAATATGAGTGATCATAGAAATGTTTTAACGAATTTACTGCTGATTCTAAGTTTTCGAACATACTTCAGTTCAGTTCTAGTTCAGTTCTAGTTCAGTTCTAGTTCAGTTCTAGTTCAGTTCTAGTTCAGTTCTAGTTCAGTTCTAGTTCAGTTCTAGTTCAGTTCTAGTTCAGTTCTAGTTCAGTTCTAGTTCAGTTCTAGTTCAGTTCTAGTTCAGTTCTAGTTCAGTTCTAGTTCAGTTCTAGTTCAGTTCTAGTTCAGTTCTAGTTCAGTTCTAGTTCTAGTTCAGTTCTAGTTCAGTTCTAGTTCAGTTCTAGTTCAGTTCTAGTTCAGTTCTAGTTCAGTTCTAGTTCAGTTCTAGTTCAGTTCTAGTTCAGTTCTAGTTCAGTTCTAGTTCAGTTCTAGTTCAGTTCTAGTTCAGTTCTAGTTCAGTTCTTTAGTTCTAGTTCAGTTCTAGTTCAGTTCTAGTTCAGTTCTAGTTCAGTTCTAGTTCAGTTCTAGTTCAGTTCTAGTTCAGTTCTAGTTCAGTTCTAGTTCAGTTCTAGTTCAGTTCTAGTTCAGTTCTAGTTCAGTTCTAGTTCAGTTCTAGTTCAGTTCTAGTTCAGTTCTAGTTCAGTTCTAGTTCAGTTCTAGTTCAGTTCTAGTTCAGTTCTAGTTCAGTTCTAGTTCAGTTCTAGTTCAGTTCTAGTTCAGTTCTAGTTCAGTTCTAGTTCAGTTCTAGTTCAGTTCTAGTTCAGTTCTAGTTCAGTTCTAGTTCAGTTCTAGTTCAGTTCTAGTTCAGTTCTAGTTCAGTTCTAGTTCAGTTCTAGTTCAGTTCTAGTTCAGTTCTAGTTCAGTTCTAGTTCAGTTCTAGTTCAGTTCTAGTTCAGTTCTAGTTCAGTTCTAGTTCGTCGTTCAGTTCTAGTTCAGTTCTAGTTCAGTTCTAGTTCAGTTCTAGTTCAGTTCTAGTTCAGTTCTAGTTCAGTTCTAGTTCAGTTCTAGTTCAGTTCTAGTTCAGTTCTAGTTCAGTTCTAGTTCAGTTCTAGTTCAGTTCTAGTTCAGTTCTAGTTCAGTTCTAGTTCAGTTCTAGTTCAGTTCTAGTTCAGTTCTAGTTCAGTTCTAGTTCAGTTCTAGTTCAGTTCTAGTTCAGTTCTAGTTCAGTTCTAGTTCAGTTCTAGTTCAGTTCTAATTCAGTTCTAGTTCAGTTCTAGTTCAGTTCTAGTTCAGTTCTAGTTCAGTTCTAGTTCAGTTCTAGTTCAGTTCTAGTTCAGTTCTAGTTCAGTTCTAGTTCAGTTCTAATTCAGTTCTAGTTCAGTTCTAGTTCAGTTCTAGTTCAGTTCTAGTTCAGTTCTAGTTCAGTTCTAGTTCAGTTCTAGTTCAGTTCCAGTTCAGTTCTAATTCAGTTCTAGTTCAGTTCTAGTTCAGTTCTAGTTCAGTTCTAGTTCAGTTCTAGTTCAGTTCTAGTTCAGTTCTAGTTCAGTTCTAGTTCAGTTCTAGTTCAGTTCTAGTTCAGTTCTAGTTCAGTTCTAGTTCAGTTCTAGTTCAGTTCCAGTTCAGTTCTAATTCAGTTCTAGTTCAGTTCTAGTTCAGTTCTAGTTCAGTTCTAGTTCAGTTCTAGTTCAGTTCTAGTTCAGTTCTAGTTCAGTTCTAGTTCAGTTCTAGTTCAGTTCCAGTTCAGTTCTAATTCAGTTCTAGTTCAGTTCCAGTTCAGTTCTAATTCAGTTCTAGTTCAGTTCTAGTTCAGTTCTAGTTCAGTTCTAGTTCAGTTCTAGTTCAGTTCTAGTTCAGTTCTAATTCAGTTCTGGATCAGTTCTAGTTCAGTTCTAGTTTAGTTCTAGTTCAGTTCGATTGCATTCGTTTTACTTACTATGCTGTCCACTATTCTGGCCACATAACGAAATGGTGCCTCCCGGGCCGCCTGAAACACTAAAGACATCACCATCGCATACTCCATTACGCCTATTGGGTTGACCCAAAATGAAATGATAGAAATCAATGCGTAATTGACTAATGTCATCATTCATTAGCTTTATTTTTAAGCTGCAGTTGGTGACATTGTTGGGCATAAAACTGGGAAAATGAGGCGACACCAAATATGTTATATTATTGCTAATGGTTTCATTGCAATTAGCGATGACTGAAAGTAATGGCAAAAGCAATTATCTCTGTATTCTGGAATTATTTAAATTTCACTTACAAATGCAACAAACACCAAAACCTAAAGCGCATTCGCCTTTTGCTTCACCTCCCTTGTTACGACACTCGTAGGCATTAAAACAGGTGCCAGTGCGGCGACCATCATCCGATAAACATTCGCCATCAACAGGAACCGGAAATAAATGTATAACTAACATAACAATTAGTAAGAACTTGATAATTACTCTACATATTTCACATGATAACATACCTTTACTTTGTCGTTTTGAATCCTCGACAAAATTAATTGAGTCATTATTGTTATCAATATCATTTACCGCCAAATTTCTTAAATATTGTCTAGAATTGAATTCAATATTTTCGAACAATTCTTGTTTTGTTGAAACAGCCATTTCGTCATCATCTTCGTAAATTGTTTCTCTTGCATTTGCGCTCCTTAAATAACGTTTGTCATCATTCCAAATATCATGATGTTTCATTGGAGGCCAAACGGCGTGATTAAGCGTTACAGACGTTGTGTTATCAATAGCAACAACAGCATGAGGCGCCGCTCTAACTTCAGTAGCGATCATTAACAATAACGTCAGTTCTAATACTATGAATATTTGTATGCACTTGGCGGTTGTTTTGTTTTTAAAAGGAACACTAATTATTTTATGGTTGACATTAACGCTTTGTCTTACAAACACTTTCATTATCATAATTTTGTTCGGTTTTTGTTGCTTTTATTTATTTATTTTAATTTTCTAATACTTAATAGGATTTTAAAGATGTTGTGCTGTTGTTTTCAGGTCATTACACTTTGGCTTAAAGATTCAGTTTGAAAAAATTTTATCATTGTTTTTCTTATTTTGTTTTACAACCTTTAGAAAATTGTTCACGTTTTTTTTTTTTTTTTTGTTTTTTGAATCGCTAACGTACTATATCAGTGACAATGTTTAGTAAGAATTTTTAATTCACTCGTCTGCATGTGCTTTCTGTCTTAATGTTTACAACAAAATAAGTCTTTGCTGGATAATGCCACAAATTCAATGCTGCAATATGTGTTGTTTGTGGGTTTTGTTTTTGCCACGGACAAGTTTTTTTTAAATGTTGCAAAATTACTTTAATCAAAGAGAGAGTTGCACTTCAATTCAATAATAAAATGTGCACACATTTCTTTTAAATAATTGACAAAATTAAATCGTATACAATATGATTTTCTCTCGGGGAAAAAAAGATCGGATATTGCCATGATTAAAGGTTGTTGTTGTTTAGAAATTTAAATAATTAGAGATTAATCTGGGTTTTAGAATTTACTATTCCATTAATTGTAATAAAATACACTTAGCCTGATTTATGAATTGATAATATTTCTTATATTAAAAGGGTTTTAAACATATTATTAACATAAGATTTTAAAACTCTACCTAACGATGGAGTTGAGTAGTTGGATTAAAAAGTTGGTGACCTAAAAGTTAAGAAACAAGTTCCTTCGAATATGTAGGTAACAATATAAAAATTATTATAACAGGTCAAATCCTCAAAAAGGTAGATATGATAATTTCAACAGTGAGCTTATCAAATTGTTATGATTTTAAAAATATAACTGGCGATCTGACTACATATCTTTCAGTTGGGGTAATTTGATCCTCACGGAAATAGTGATCTCATAATGTGCTCGTTTATCAATTTAAAGGTGTTTTTACGAAGTTGCTGAAGTAGAACTGAATTAGAACTGAACTAGAACTGAACTAGAACTGAACTAGAACTGAACTAGAACTGAACTAGAACTGAACTAGAACTGAACTAGAACTGAACTAGACTGAACTAGAACTGAACTAGAACTGAACTAGAACTGAACTAGAACTGAACTAGAACTGAACTAGAACTGAACTAGAACTGAACTAGAACTGAACTAGAACTGAACTAGAACTGAACTAGAACTGAACTAGAACTGAACTAGAACTGAACTAGAACTGAACTAGAACTGAGCTAGAACTGAGCTAGAACTGAACTAGAACTGAACTAGAACTGAACTAGAACTGAACTAGAACTGAACTAGAACTGAACTAGAACTGAACTAGAACTGACTAGAACTGAACTAGAACTGAACTAGAACTGAACTAGAACTGAACTAGAACTGAACTAGAACTGAACTAGAACTGAACTAGAACTGACTAGAACTGAACTAGAACTGAACTAGAACTGAACTAGAACTGAACTAGAACTGAACTAGAACTGAACTAGGAACTGAACTATAACTGAACTAGAACTGAACTAGAACTGAACTATAACTGAACTATAACTGAACTAGAACTGAACTAGAACTGAACTAGAACTGAACTAGAACTGAGACTAGAACTGAACTAGAACTGAACTAGAACTGAACTAGAACTGAACTAGAACTGAACTAGAACTGAACTAGAACTGAACTGGAACTGAACTAGAACTGAACTAGAACTGAACTAGAACTGAACTAGAACTGAACTAGAACTGAACTAGAACTGAACTAGAACTGAACTAGAACTGAACTAGAACTGAACTAGAACTGAACTAGAACTGAACTAGAACTGAACTAGAACTGAACTAGAACTGAACTAGAACTGAACTAGAACTGAACTAGAACTGAACTAGAACTGAACTAGAACTGAACTAGAACTGAACTAGAACTGAACTAGAACTGAACTAGAACTGAACTAGAACTGAACTAGAACTGAACTAGAACTGAACTAGAACTGAACTAGAACTGAACTAGAACTGAACTAGAACTGAACTAGAACTGAACTGAACTAGAACTAGAACTGAACTGAACTAGAACTGAACTAAACTGAACTAGAACTGAACTAGAACTGAACTAGAACTAAACTAGAACTGAACTAGAACTGAACTAGAACTAGAACTGAACTGAACTAGAACTGAACTAGAACTGAACTAGAACTGAACTAGAACTGAACTAGAACTGAACTAGAACTAAACTAGAACTGAACTAGAACTGAACTAGAACTGAACTAGAACTGAACTAGAACTGAACTAGAACTGAACTAGAACTGAACTAGAACTGAACTAGAACTGAACTGAACTAGAACTGAACTAGAACTGAACTAGAACTGAACTAGACTGAACTAGAACTGAACTAGAACTGAACTAGAACTGAACTAGAACTGAACTAGAACTGAACTAGAACTGAACTAGAACTGAACTAGAACTGAACTAGAACTGAACTAGAACTGAACTAGAACTGAACTAGAACTGAACTAGAACTGAACTAGAACTGAACTAGAACTGAACTAGAACTGAACTAGAACTGAACTAGAACTGAACTAGAACTGAACTAGAACTGAACTAGAACTGAACTAGAACTGAACTAGAACTGAACTAGAACTGAACTAGAACTGAACTAGAACGGAACTAGAAACTGAACTAGAACTGAACTAGAAACTGAACTAGAACTTGAACTAGAACTGAACTAGGAACTGAACGAGAACTGAACTAGAACTGAACTAGAACTGAAACTAGAACTGAACTAGAACTGAACTAGAACTGACTAGAACTGAACTGGAACTGACATAAATGACTAGAACCTGAACTAGAACTGAACTAGAAACTGAACTAGAACTGAACTAGAACTGAACTAGAACTAGAACTAAGAACTGAATAACTAAGAACTGGAACTAGAACTGAAACTAGAACTGAACTAGAAACTGAACTAGAACTGAACTAGAACTGAACTAGAACTGAAACTAGAACTGAATCTAGAACTGAAACTAGAACTGAAACTAGAACTGAACTAGAACGGAACTAGACTGAACCTGAACTGAACGAGAACTGAACTAGAACTGAACTAGAACTGAACTAGAACTGACTAGCACTGAACGAGAACTGAACTAGAACTGAAACTAACTAGAACTGAACTGAACTAGAACTAGAACTGGAACTGAACTAGAACTTGACTACTGACGAAACTGAACTGAACTGAACTAGAACTGAAACTATAACTGAACTAGAACTGAACTAGAACTAAACTAGAACTGAACTAGAACTGAACTAGAACTAGAACTGAACTGAACTAGAACTGAACTAGAACTGAACTAGAACTGAACTAGAACTGAACTAGAACTGAACTAGAACTGAACTAGAACTGAACTAGAACTGAACTAGAACTGAACTAGAACTGAACTAGAACTGAACTAGAACTGAACTAGAACTGAACTGAACTAGAACTAGAACTGAACTGAACTAGAACTGAACTAAACTGAACTAAACTGAACTGAACTGAACTAGAACTGAACTAGAACTGAACTAGAACTGAACTAGAACTAAACTAGAACTGAACTAGAACTGAAACTAGAACTAGAACTGAACTGAACTAGAACTGAACTAGAACTGAACTAGAACTGAACTAGAACTGAACTAGAACTGAACTAGAACTAAACTAGAACTGAACTAGAACTGAACTAGAACTGAACTAGAACTGAACTAGAACTGAACTAGAACTGAACTAGAACTGAACTAGAACTGAACTAGAACTGAACTAGAACTGAACTAGAACTGAACTAGAACTGAACTAGAACTGAACTAGAACTGAACTAGAACTGAACTAGAACTGAACTAGAACTGAACTAGAACTGAACTAGAACTGAACTAGAACTGAACTAGAACTGAACTAGAACTGAACTAGAACTGAACTAGAACTGAACTAGAACTGAACTAGAACTGAACTAGAACTGAACTAGAACTGAACTAGAACTGAACTAGAACTGAACTAGAACTATGGAATGATCACAGAATAGGGTTCTTTTTCAATTACATACATTTTATACGAAAGATTTAAGAAACAAACTTTTTAAGGCTTAAACGTTGTTACAACTATCCGCTACTATATAAACAAACGACTGCAATTAAGTCCAGATTTTTTTAAAAATTTAATAATTTAATAAACATTAATCTCATACTAATCTTTAAGATAATTAGAATCAGTTTGAATATTTAAAATACCAGTCATCATATGTTCTACATTTTAAGAAACTAACAATATTGATAATAGTTAGCTGTTGGAAAAAAAAAACCCATTTTTTCTAATATTTATCTATGTCAACTTGACCACATTCGCGAGTTGCAAGAGCGGCGGCAACTTGCTGCAATAGCATCTCGATAGAGTAAACAGAGCAAGAGTTGCACACAATATCCCATACACTGCAATATGGACGATGCAAAAATAAACTTTCATTCCATGGTCTTGTTATAGCAACAAGTTGTTTAACCTGATTTTCCCCGCCATCCATGACATCTTGTTGCATGAATGGCAATGACAAAAAATTAAGCAAAAGAATGAGAACACAAAAGATAACAAATACATTCATACATAAGTACTAAATATATATTTAAATGTTAAACTTAAATGTTTTCAAAAAAAAAGTAACGAAAATAAAAATTGAAATTACTTGGTTTGAGTGTGACTATAATAAATGAAATATTTTTGGTGGAGTTTTTAATCCAAAAAGAAAAAAGAAAGACTTAGCATTCATGTAAGCAGCTTTTAAATAAACCTGAAAGATATATAAACTCATGAGCTATAGTTTTCCATTTATTATATTGTACTTCGTATTGAATGGAGTTATATTGTTTGTAAAATTATTTGTATGTGGGAACATCCGTTGTTGGCAGCATAAAAGTTCATACAAGAGATGTATGCAACAAAGAAACTAAAGAAACAACAGCAACAACAAACAATCAATGAAAGTAAAACTTATAAAAATTCAAACAAATTGTTGTTACAACAATGAAATACTAAATGAATGAAAATAAAAAGCGATGAAAATAACCCAGCCAGCAATTATTACGACGTTCGATATGTGATTACGATTACTGCACACAGCACAATACAACACAAAAAAAGATCAGCTCGTACGTAATTAAATGTTGTTTGAGATGGGAAAAATAAACATTAAAAACTAGAAAAAAAAAAAGAAAAGTGGGAAAACAAAAGATTAACTTGCTTGCATGGCAAGGCAATGATGCACTGCTGCCAGCAATTGCTTATTAGCATGAACATTTTATAATTTAAAACTGAAAAAAAAACCTTATTTTCCAATGACATTTATAAATGAATTTACACTATGAATAGTTTTCTAAGTAATTATTGTGAAAATAGTTTTACTCCTTGTCTCAAAACCGTTAAATTGGAACACAACAAAAATATATAAATGGCAAAGATGCTGTATAATATTTGCGGCTATTAACTTGATAGGTGGAATAAATAAGCCAGACAAATTATATATCTATATAAAGGAAATTATGTGCTTTTTTATAATGTATAACAAATTTAATTTGTTAAAGATAAATTTGCCGGTATTAGCGTTTATAAGTAGAGTCTTATCTGGTTTGGGGGAAAAAATTGATTATAGAGAAAAATATAGATTTGTAGTGTAGATTAAAGAAAGATTTGCTTTCTGCAGAAAGTTTAATTTCCTAAGATTTAATATTATTTAAGATTATTTCTTCCAGTGATAGATCGAGAATATAGATAGAGAAATATACGTTTTCTAGAGAAATATCGAAAAAAATAGAGAATGATCGATCATGTAGAAAAATTCAACATAAATATCGATTTTCTAAACACATATAGATCATCTAGAGAAGGATCATTTTCAGGAAAAACAAAATTTAGTTTTTCTAAAGAAATATTAATTATTTTTTAGACAAAAATCGATATCGAGGGACTATATTCAATAGTCTCTATCTGTCATTTTCATGAAAATAAGATTTTGATGGCAAAATATCCAGCAAACTATCCCGCATCAGTGTAATAAATTTCAAAAGAAAAAAATATGTTTTTGGCAATTTTATAGCAATTTTTAAATTTCTCTATCTTATAAAAAGAAAAATTCTGAATGCAAAACTCTCTATCTCATCCAAAAATTGCTTCAAACTCTATTATTTTGGATAATTTTCTGTTGCAAAACAAGTGTTTTTACTAATTTGGACATACTGAACACAAATCCGCAAAAATTTTTGAAATCGGTTTAATAGTTTTCGAGATATCGCACATTATGATACTAATTTGATTAATTTTATCGCCGTATTTAACCATATAACATTGATTTTGGACTAAAACCTTATAATCTGTTGCTTTTTCAACAATTTGGTTTCTATTATTTCATTAAATTGCATAAAATATAATATTTATTGATATTAAATCGAATAAAAAAATTATATTTCTATGAAAAACTCTCTATCTGAAGGCTGAAAAAAAAATGTTTCGTAGAAAAAAGCTCTATCTGATATAAAGTTGTGAATAATTCTGCAAATAATGCAAAATTTTAAATTCTTTTTATATAACGATTTAGAATATGGTCTTAAAAATATATTGTAGAAGAAAAAATTCAAAAATCTTCACGAACTAGCTAAATAAACAGTTTATTTGCTCTCCTGAAAACTTGTGTTATTTTAGATAGAGACTATTGAATATAGTCCCTCGATATGCTTCTAGCAAAATATCGATTTTTATTATTTAGATATATTATGCAGAAATATGGATTTCTAGTGGAAGATCGATTTTCTAAACAATTATCGATCTCCAAGAGAAATATCCGCTTCCAAAAAAAAGAAAATTTTTCTAGACAAATATCGATTAGGGTTCTATAGTTGAAACGAAAAGTCGACTTTTCGACTTTTTTCATTTAGTTAAAAGTCGACTTTTCGACTTCTCGACTTTTTGCATTTTATGAAAAGTCGATTTTTCGACTTTTTTCATTTAATTAAAAGTCTACTTTTAGACTTTTCGACTATAAGTATTTTATAAATAGTCGACTTTTCGAATTTTTTTGACTTAGACTTTTTTCGACTTTTTCCGACTTTTCGATTTTTTCGACTAGTTTTTGACTTTTTTCGAGTTTTTCCGACTATATTAGAGTTTTTGACTTTTTTTTTTTTTTTTGTTTCTACAATTTTCGAGTTTTCGATTTTTCGACTTCGACTTTTCGACTTTTTTCGACAAAAAGTCGATTATTCGAAAGTCGATTTATAGAACCCTAATATCGATCTTCTAGAGAAATATCGATTTGCTAAGAAAAAATCGATTCTTTATAAATAATTTTTTTCAGAGAAATAATATTTTTCTAGATAAATTGTCATTAGATCAATGACTGAAAGATTTCCAGGAAAATATCGATTTTCCAGACAAATATTAATCTTCTAGAGAAAGATCGATTTTCTAGAAAAACATCGAGATTTGGGAGATAATGATAGATTTTAAGAAAAATATTCATATTCCACAGAAAGATCGATTTCTAGTGGAAGATCGATTTTCTAAACAAATATCGATCTCCAAAAGAAATATCTGATATATTTGAAATGAAAAAGGACGAATTTTCTAGACAAATGTCGATCCTCTAGAGAAAAAGAATTTTTTTTTTTGCTTGATCTTCTAAAAAGTTAGATTTTTCAAAGAAATTTTAATCTCCTTTAAGGATCCATTTGATAGAGAATGATTGATGTTTAGAAAAATATTCATATTTTAGAGATTTCAATTACTACTGAATGTACGATTTTCTAAACAAATATCGATCTTCAAGACAAATATTTGCATCAATCTTCCAGAGAAAGATCGATTTTTTCTGGGAAGAGAAACAGAGAGAGAGAGTTTCAATATTTTCTATAAAGACCGACTTTATAGAGAAATTTCATTATTCTAGATAAAGAGCGATTTGGACAGAATTTTTGATCTTACAGAAAATGATCCCCATGGTAGAGATCTATCTTCTAATGTATAAAACATTTTCTTGACAAATATAGATTTTTTGAGAAAATGGATTTCCAAAGAAAGAATAATTTTCTAGTGTAAGGTCGATCTCTAGATGTTTTAGTTATTGATTCCAGAAAAAAACGATCTTCTATAAAAAAATATATATATATTTCGTAATCAAATGTTGACAGATCGCTTTTCTTTTAAATGATCGATTTTCTATTGAAAGTTTTTTTATAGTAACGAAAAATAAAGTTTTAAGTGAAAAATTGTTTTTCGGAAAGTAATAAGTTGTCAGATTGACTTTTTGAAAGAAAACGATCTTCTATATAAGTAAGATCGATTTGTTAGTCAAATGTTGATGTTTCACTGACAGATCGCTTTTCTTTCAAAAGATCGATTTCCTATTGAAAGATTTCTTAATTTTATTGTAAAGAATGTGGTTTTTAGTGAAATTTCTTTCTCCTTTTATTTTTTGAATGAAGAATCGGAAAAGAATCAGCTTTTTGGTAAAAAATTCCAAAATCAAAATCAAAGAAAGAGCGATTTTCTATTCATCTTCGAGAGAAAAAGTTGCTACTGAAATAGTGATTTTATCTAAAAGAAAGATCCGTTTGGTAGTCAAATATTGATGTTCTAGTGACAGATCGCTTTAATTTCAAAAGATCGATTTTCTACTGAAGAATTTCTTAATTTTTTTTAATGAAAAATCGGAAATGAATCAGCTTTTTGGTAAGAAATTTCAATAGCAAAACCATATCAGCTGATCTTTCCAACTAAAAGATCTCTGAACACACTTTTTATAAATAAAAAAATTATGCTGAGTTTTCAAAAACCTAATACCATTTAACCCTAAAAGGTAAAAAATAAATAATAAGAAACTTTCTTAAATTTTTTTATTATGAATGTTTTTTTATTTCTTCTGGTTATTCAAAAAAAGATTTATAAAAAATAAATTAATAAAATAATAAGAAAAAAATAGTTAAATGCTTAGAAAAACTAAATAAATGTACATAATTAGACATCGAATCAAATTTATATATTTGTCAAAATATATAACCGATTAAAGTCTTTATTGAAATGTAAAGAAGAATGTATTAGTTAATAACTTACATAAATACTTATTTAGAAAAATTTTATTGTTAAAGCTTACATAAAACAAATACAAACAGTTAAAAATTTTTAAATTTCACTGACATTTTCTCTCTGATAAGAGTACAAAATTAGCAAGTCTTGCTCTTTAGAGATTCATATGCTACAGAGAGAAAGTCAGCTGATTTATAAAACTTTTACAACTGATTATATTTAAAAGTATTAGATATGTATAAAGTATTAGTGCATTCTAGGATGAGAAAAGAAATTAAATATTTTGTACAAATGCTAAACTAAAACTACTTAGTAGGGGCATCAAAACACTAAACTCTCAAATAGAAATTGTAACATAAATTTTTCTCCAAAAGAGAAAAACAAGTTCAATCTAGACATTCATAAAAATATGTAGTGTGAAATATGTTTATGTCAATGTGTAATGAATAGTGAATGTTTAAAATTAAAACCGTAATTCTAAAGTGTCTCCAAGGCAGTGGGACCATTTGGACTTCCCTCTAGTTTACGCCATACCACATTGCACATTTCTCGCACTAATGCCTTTTCACCATCGTCCATCTGATCTATAGTTTGTCCCGTCAAATTACCCAAACGATCACGTTCTAACTGTTCGCGTACTTCTAAAACTTGCAGAGCTCGTACTACAGCTTCAGGACGTCCAGAAATGGGATCAACTAAGGCATCGTTTAGGGCAGATGTTGGTTGCGGTGCTTTTTGGTTGTGTGTGTTTGACGTTGCCGCTGTTAGGCAGGCTGATAAATGTGCTGATGGTGTCTGTTGTTGCGGCGCTTGTATTTGACGACGTTGCTGCTGGGGACTTAGTATATTTGCTGTGGGTGTTGGGGTTTTTGATGTCACATTGGTATCGTTGCGTTCTTTTTCCAGCTGTTGTATACGTCGTTCAAGGGATCGTACGTACTGTAGGGTTTGATCTTGCAGTGTTGATCGTAAGTGTAGATCCTGTAATGGTAATGAAGAAATTGATTAGAATAGATTTGGTTGAAAGTAGATATTCTAAATATATAAAGATGGAGAAATTCGGAACATCATACAATAGATTGGACCAAATAGTATCTTCTTAAAATATATGATATTCTGAAACTGATAGATTTTTTGTATTCGAAATACTGACTGTCAGTAAGAATCCCAAACTATTCGTTTGTAGAAAAGAAGTTTTAACCCAATTGAAACACTTGAAAGTTTGAGTGACTAGCTTGATTGAGAATAGTACTCCGATGGTCTACATTCTACCCACGAAAACTATGCTGATGTAGACTTAATCCAGGAATATCGACAGAACAACGAACTGGTTATTCTTACGAAATCTAATTAAATTTTATGAAAATAAAATGAAACATGGTATATCAAATCTGGAATCTTGAGGAAATTTTCCCTTATATAGATTAATCGGAAGTATCTCCATGTCATAATACTTAGGAAACGATCCAAGGTCATTAGAAAGCAATTGAAAACTAACATAGACTATCGAAAAGGTCTGCTTTTGCCGAAAATTTTCCCTTTTAATAAAACTATCGTTTGTTCCCTTATCGAGTGTGAATCGAGTCATTCCGGAGCAAATGTTAAATTGTTGGGGGAACGTTCGCGAAAATTCATTTTACATATTCAATGATGGTCCTTTTCTCATGGAAACGTAAGTTCTATTGGAAAAGGAGTCCAGGAACTTTCAAATCCCATTTGACTTCACTTTCACTTACCGGCAATTGACTTTCATAGTTTCTCAAAGCGGTCATATTCTCATCAGCATTCGTACTTGAACTAGAACCATCACCATCATCTCTCAACGTATTACGGGTACTAGCTCCACAATTAACACATATAGAGTTGGCAGCTATATGGGCCCTCTCCTCATCCAAATACAAACACAATTCCTTCAACTCCAAATTGTCGGTGATAAGCTCTTGTTGTTTATCATCCAATTGACGTAATTTATTCTGGAATAGTTGGAAAAAGGGAACAAGATTAGTATTTTAATTTAGAAACAAAAAACTCATTTGGAAACCCACCTGATAAGCAGCCACTTCTTGTCGCATAACACTTGCTGTATATCTGCCAAATCTTTGCCATTCTCTAGCTAGTTTTCTTCCCTTTTGACGATCATCATCCAAAAAACAACACAGATCTCTCAGCTCTTGATTATCATCCATGAGTCGTTGATTCTGTTCCTTAAGCGAACGTAACTCATTTATCAAGGACTGTAGTTGACGATTTTGTTCGGCTGTTAAACGACCAGCTGCTGGTGGTATACCACCACCAGTACCACTCGATGTAACCGAAGCATTTGGTGAAGGATGATCTTGATCGGGTTTTCGTACAAATTTCAACATATCCTGATGTTGTTGCTGCTGTTGTTCGGCCGTTGACAGCTGTTGCGTAGAATGTCCGTTTGTTGTGGTTTGATTGATGCTACGTAAACGCTGTTGTAATTGAGCCTGATGATTATTCTGCTGTTGTTGTTGTTGCTGACGCTGTTGTTGCAAACTGTAACGCGAGGAATTTGTTGGATTTTTCAAAGAATCTGGTATGAAAACACTCGAAAGCTGTGGAATATCTGGCGGATATTTAAGATTATTCAAATGATTTCCCGTTGTTTCAGTTGAGAAATATGAAGGATAGGCAGTTTTTGCGCCGCTACTTAATCTTTGTGTATTTAGGTTTTTCAAAATACCAGTAGTGGGATTTGATTGACTTTGCGGTTGTGGTGGTGGTTGATAGCGTGGCGGTATAGAATGTGCGGGCGCTTTAAGACTATTGCCTGCAGTTTTAAGGGTTTGTAAATGATAAAAGTTACGTCTTGTTATAGGATTTTCACTAACACCTCCAGCAGTTGTATTATTCGACTCTGTTAGCGTTGAGGGAGCGTTACGTTGTTGCGCCTGTGAGGAAGGCTGATGTATGGTAGCTATTGTTTGCAATTGGTTGGCTTGTGTTGGAACTGTAGCCGTGGTTGATGTTGTATTAAGTATGGATATGGTTTGTGATTGTTGCTGATGTTGTTGTTGCTGTTGCTGTAACGCCACCGATGGAATTAATGAACGTTTTTGATGTTGTTGTGGTGCTTGCAATTTCGTTGTCACTGTTGATAATTTTGAGGAATGTTGTTGCTGTGCTGCTTGTAAATTATTATATGATTTCTGTAGTTGCTGTTGTTGTTGCTCCTGCTCCTGTTGGTAGCTATGATGATGTGTTTGATTACGGTGAGGATTAGGTGTCAAGGATTTACTGTGTGTTATATTTGTGGAAGTAGTAGTAGTAATAGTTCCTGCTGTGGTTGTATTTGATATATTAGATGTTGGAGTATTCGCACTAACAATCAAATTTCCATTAATTTTATGTGTATTTGTAACGGCGGACATTGTCTTCGTATTCGTTTCACTGCTGTGCTGTCATAAAGCAATAGTGCTAAGGATTTTCCTTAATGAAAATCCACCTTAAAATAATTTATTGCAAAACATTTTGCTTGTTTGTAGTTTAATTTTATGCAAAACTCCTTAAAAGTGAAGAATTTATCTGCAAAATAGATTTATGTAATTAGCAAGTTTTTTCTTAAATTTTTTATCTCATATTTCAATTTATTTTAAATTTTAAAGTTTTCATTGTTTTGCAAAATTTGTTTATTATATTACATTTTCCACTTGCACGCATGCATAAATTTGTACAGTGTGGGACAAAAGAAATAAAAATTTTAAGTTTTCCTAAGATTTTTAAATGTTCAAGTCAATTATAGGAAAATATTCAAGTAATTAGCACTTTATCGGTAGTTATATCGTAGATGTATAAATCTATATTGAACCAAGACTCTTTATTTTCGAATGATCCTGCTTAAATGTCAAACGGTATTAATGATCCATCTAATAAAACTTTTGATTTCCACAATTTTCTTTAACCTATTTTATTCGTTACTGTTTTTTTGACTGTAAAAATTTATAATTTATACAACTCTAGTTGTTATTATTACATAGTTTATCGTAATTAAATTGTCATCATGACTTTACATATACATTTATAATACTTATATACATATGTATACTTACGTGTATATGTATAGTATGTACTTAAAATAGTAGAAAGTGAAATACTAGACAGATTGCATATAAATGGTTGTGTCACTAACATCATGCAAAGCCAACCATAAAAATTAGGTTGACAAACTTAAAATGTTCCAAATTATATATAAAATCAAATTATTGCTAACTAAACAGTTTCAATTTAGTAACTAAATTAAAGTGAAATTTTTTTGCAAGAAACCAAAGCAAAAGTGAAAAATTTATTTCAAATTATTTCTATAAAAATTACTAATAATGAAACTAATGATTAACATATCAAACTGGTGTTAACTATGTTTCTAACAATCTCTATTTATTACCACATAATTATAGATTTAACCAACAAGATTAGAGAGTTTTAGCTGCAACTCGTCTTACTAGCACAAATTGTTACACAAACAAAATCTTTAAGCAATAAACTACTACCTACAGCAGAGGTTTTTTTAAGCCCTTTTTTTGGGTTTCATTGAAATTTTTGGTCATTTTTGTGCAGCTTACAAGAAAAGCAACTAGAGATAAAAATTACATTAAATACAAAATTAACAGCAATAGAATGTTTTAAAACCCCCTTCACACGAGCACACAAGTAATATGATCTGCCAAAATTTTCAGCAATTGAATGTTTTAAAGTCCCCTTCACACGAGCACACAAGTAATATGATCTGTCAAAATTTTTTTGTAGAAGAGAACGGATGGGATCGTCTAAACGCAATATGTAATGAAACCATCACACATTGAGAGAAAATACGGATGGAAATTTTGACAGTCGAATGGCTCTCTTCATTTTTTTAAATGTTTCAAAAAACAAGCAAATCGCATTTGATCAGGGATGTATTTTTATATAAACACATACAAAAGTGAAACAGCTGTTTCCATCTTACTTTGTTATTGTTTAATAGCAATCGTGTAAACACAAAATATATAAATCATACGACTTTTATTTTCTTTTTTGTTATACGGATGGAATTTCATTTTACTTTTTCATCAGACTTGTCGTACGTTAAGTTTGATCGTCTGAAGGGCCCTTAAGCAGATATTGTAAATGTTTCAGTACTTTTAAAGAGAGTTGGAGAGAGTGTAGGCAAAAGTCGGATTTCAGTTTGTTTAAGCTGAAGTAGGTATTCTACCTCTATCCTTTGTCATTCATAACAAGTAAGAGTGTCTTTTATAGCCACCGTCAAAAGTGGTCCTATATAAGGACTCCTATATAAGAACTTAGAAGTTGAAGTCGTACGTCAATTACACAGGCAGACCAAATAGGATAAAAGTTAAAAGTAAACTTTTAAGTTTTGAGCAGCGCTGAATCAGAATCTGATTTTCATCATCACATGTGGGATTTGAGATATCGTGTACTGAAGTTTCAAAAAACGTAATTTTTGAAATCTTTTGAGACGTTATAACAGCGACAAGACAACTATGAAGAAAGAAGATATGTCAAAAGCTTTTATGAAAGAATGGACTTGCAGACAAAATAGGATAAAATTTAAAATCCAGATACATTTCTAAAGTATTGAGCAGCGCTAAATCCGAATCCGATTTTCATCATCACATGTCGGATTTGAGATATCGTGTACTGAAGTTTCAAAAAACGTAATTTTTGGTCCCTTTTGAAACGTTATAACAGTGACAAGACAAAATTGTTTATGAAATATGTATATGTCATCTGAAGTTCCACTTAAAATACCGTGCACCATGAGTTTTTCAAGCCTTAGGTGAAGTTATTTCGATGATGAATAAAGATATATCAAAAGCCTTTATAACAGAATAGACTTTCAGATGACATATAACATTATATAAATAAAGTTGTCTTAGCGCTGTTATAACATCTCAAAAAGGGCCAAAATTTAATATTTCAAATTTCAGGACACGGAATCTCGAATTCCAGATGTGATGGAAAAATTCAGAGGCCAGTTTCGGATTCAGCGCAGATCAATGCTTTAGAAAAGTACACTTTGGTCACTGGGTTAAACATTTGACGGCCTGTGTTATGGACCGAACTCTACAGAACTTAAAATAGTGTCAATTCGAAGTATAATTTTGAACGATTTATTGATTAGATAGACTCCAAGAGAGAAAGAGAGAGTAGTATCAATAATGGACCGATCCTCATAAAACTATTTTTTTCGAAATTTACCCCTCCAGTTATGAGCCACAAAGTCTTTTTCCGAAGAGGACATTATATGGAAGGTAGGGTCAATTATGGACTGATCCTCATAACATTTGGTAGAAAGATTTTTTGTCGAATTTCATAGCTATTATTAAACCCATTATGAGCTTTAAAGTCATTTTCTGATGAGGAATAGAGTCAATAATGGACCGACCCTTGTAACATTTAGTAGAAAGGTTTTAGTTCCTATAAAACTTGTTTTTTTTTGTCGAATTTCATCCCTATACTTTTAGTTTTAAGTCAATTATGAGCCATAAACTAATTTCCGGAAGGGGACCTTATATGGGGGGTAGGGTCAACAAAAGAGCGATATTGCTCATATGTATATCATATCTCTCATTTTCAATACGAAAATTATACCTCTTTAGTAGTAGTCTCCATGGTGATTTCAACAGACAGATGAACGGACCCGGCTAAATCATTTTAGAATTTAATAAGGTCCCAGGATATATGTATGCATGGGTCCATGTGTAAAAAAAAAATATAAAAAAGAGATAAAAATGTAAATTTAAAGTAGTTTTCGTAAGCTGGGACATTATACCGCAACTAGGATTAAAAATGAACCGATTTTTGCCGCAATAAATTTCTAAAATATCTCGAGATAGTGATGTGATCCAAACAATCTTAAAGTCGAAGTGTAAATCGTACTAAAGTACATTTTTTGATAGTTCATCAATTTCGACATCCAAGAGTTTTCAATAACTCTACAATGACATCGTTAGTCAGACTTACGATCAGCTTAAATATTATTAAGTATTTCCTTTAAAATATACATATTTATGAAGACACTTTTCAATTCTTTGAAAGAATCTTAAACCCCTTTATGTACTCATATTTCACACCATATTCCGCAACAGAACATTAGAGAAACATGAAAAGAACAAAAATCAGCTATTGAATATAAAAGTGAACAGAAAATAAAACCGAAACCATGTGAAAAGTCATCATCATCACACAGTTACAATGTTTGGTAAAAACAACGTCATCATTAGCAGCAACAACAACGACAACAATAATATCATCAACGCCACAAAACACAAATCTAAATCTGTCAAGGGATCGAGCTGTGCCGCCACACAAATTGCAAAATACCAACCCAAAAATTAACCAAAACAAACAAAAAGAAGAAAAATTCACAAAGGCAACAAAAAACAAAAACAAAAAAAAAAGACTGAAAATCGAATCGAAATAACGCCAAAAAATAACTTCGTGTATCTGAGTTACGGTTAATGAGCAGTAATGCTACATTGATTACCCGGCTTGACTTGAAGGCATTCAGTTTCGTGTATGATTTGCAATATACAAATGACTATAGAGTACATATTACATACTACAACTGCTAAATATTTAGGTACTATAGTGCGGAAATGTGAAAACAAACCCCAAAATATGTTGTTCACATAATGTCAAAATAAAAAGAAAACAATCAAAAAAATGAACATACATACATACTTACAGCAATATAATTTATATGTTTGTAATTATTTAGCATTGAATACAGATCCATACCTATGTAAATATGTATGTTTAAGTATTTTAACGTGTCTGAAATTCTTTGATTCATGATGGTTCTTATTGAGTGGGATTTTTTAGTATTATTATTTGTTTGTTTGTTTTCGTTGTTGTTTTATTAATAATGATTGCGATTGGTCTGTTATTTATATGAAAGATCTTATAACAAACGGGGGAGAAGAGTTATTCAATTTTTACTTGCAATTCTCATAGTTGTATACATTTTTAGTCTTATTTTTTACATGAAAAGGAAATACATTTTTCCATGAATGGTATGTTTTCTTATAATTTATGTCTATCTGGCCCTACAATTCATTGTCTAGGTACGTAGTTTTAACCATTTTCGAGAATATAGACTAGACTATAGACTAGACTAAAGACCAGACTATAGACTAGACTATAGACTAGATTAAAGACTAGACTATAGACTAGACTATAGACTAGACTATAGACTAGACTATAGACTAGACTATAGACTAGACTATAGACTAGACTATAGACTAGACTATAGACTAGACTATAGACTAGACTATAGACTAGACTATAGACTAGACTATAGACTAGACTATAGACTAGACTATAGACTAGACTATAGACTAGACTATAGACTAGACTATAGACTAGACTATAGACTAGACTATAGACTAGACTATAGACTAGACTATAGACTAGACTATAGACTAGACCATAGACTAGACTATAGACTAGACCATAGACTAGACTATAGACTAGACTATAGACTAGACTGTAGACTAGACTATAGATTAGACTATAGACTAGACTAT